ACATTTTGAAGACGTATGATGGCAACTGAAGCCACTCCTCAGAACTTCGCGACGTCATCTATAACTCCTGATCATGAGCTAGTTAGTCTAAATATTCAATGATCCCTTGCAGTTAATCGGAAAATGCTGACATGCGCCCAGAACACTACTGAAGCTAAGAGTCAAGATGTCCCCTCCGACAAATTTCTCTCTGTAGATGGAGCGACTGCCGATAAAGATGGAAGTAAACAAGATTCAGATTCTGTCGAAGTCACCAACAATAACTCGGCGGAGGTCAGTGTTAATGGAGGATCGGATACTGAAGCTACAAAAGCGGAAACCTCGAAAATTGGTGATGACAAAGGTAGTCACATTCGAACAACCTCGACCCTCAAGAAACCAGTCCCATCTTTCAAGGCAGTTTCAGTAAACAAGACATTTTTGGCATCGAAAGCTTCCACGGCTGCAGTCCCATCGAAGGTTGGAGATAAAGGTCCTGCAGTTTCTAGTACTGCGCCAGCAACTTTGTCGGCTTCAACCTCAACCACCCCAAAACCTAGATTGGTCGCGAAATCAGGCAGTGGCCTCCGTGATTCAACTCCACGAGCTTCAACTACCGCAAATGGTGGAAAAGCTGGTGGTGCTCCGGATGCAAGTGCCGTGTGGAACAAAAATAGACGTATGTTACACAATATGTTGAAAGGTGGAATATTCTAACATAAGACAGCTGCTGCCCCACCAGAGCCAAAGCGATTTACGGATGAAGAACTCAAGCAACGTTATGGTATTCATTTAGCGACTAGATTACAATCCGATGACCCGGGTAAGCAGGCAAATTGGGCAGATATCGACGATGACGATGATGATTGGGCACCCGAATCGATTGAATGGACGGATGGCACGAAAATTACTCTGCCGCACGCAGATGATGCACCCCCTCCACCTCCCGAACCCGTACCAGAGCCTGCGCCAGTCGTAAAGGAAATTAAAAAAACTGAACCCGCACCAAAGCCATCAAAATCACCAGCACCTCAGGCGATAGCTGCTCCTGCCCCTCGACTTGGGTCCGGAAAAGCTGGGTTGGTCCTCAAAGGTGCTCCCGAAAAACCTACTCTCGTTGCAAAACCACCTGGACCTCCAACACCTGTCAAATCTCCATGGGCTCAACTTCCTCCAGTCGAAAAAGTGGCCCCTGTCGCAATTGACGTTCCCCAACAATCTCAGCAAAACAGATTTAACCAACGCGATCCTCATGGATTTTCTGGTATGCCACAACCACCTGCGAAGGAAATTGCGGCCGATGATTTCAGCCGAACGTGGAGAGAAAGCAACGCACATGCTAATCGGGAGCTCTATAATTCGCAATCTGGTCGGTATGAGCCTGTTAATGAGGGTCGACGTGGAGTTTCTAGATCCGATGGACAATCTCGTGGTCCTGCAGTCCTTCAACGACCATCGCATCAAGATGGGCCTGCAGAGCCATCTGCCGCTTTTCAAACTCATCACACGAGCGCGCAACAAGGCAATTATGGACGCCGTCGCACTTCTTCTAATGTTAGCGGGGGAAGTGGAAATTTTGCTAGACGTATGAGCCGCGGTCATGATATGCCACCACCTCACGAAATGTTAAACGCACGCAGAGGCTCATTGGCAGCTTTAAGTGATGCGCCGTCTTCGCCAAGAAATTTCTCCCCATCTGGTCAAAATTATCCAAACCAGCAACATCAGCAACGAGGTTATCAAAACCAAAGTCAACCATGGCAATCTCGCGCATCGCCAGCTGTTAGTCATGCGTCTCCTCATTCTACTTATGGACAACTTGCTTCAGGTTCGGGTGATATGCACATGCATGGTCAAGGTCCGCCACAGGGCCCACCAGTGGGCACTGCACGTGACGATGATGCTTTGGAAGAACAAAAGATTATCATGAGACGAACCCGTGAACTTGCGATTAAGAGAAGACAAGAGGCTGAAGCCAAAGAGGAGGCTGAGAGAAAGGAGCGTATCCGGATCAAGCTTGAAGCAATGGGTCCACCTCCAGAGAAGAAAAAGGTTAAGGAAGAGCCGGTCAAAGAGGAAAGCGTACCTACCTCAATTCAATCCCGCGAAGGAAAAACGCCTGTTTTGGCCAAATCAACGGAAACGGAAAACTCTAATGATGCCCACGTGCCTAAATCGGAAATCACGAATGAAAATGATGATGCAAGTCACATTGAAGGAAATTCTACTGCCACCGATTCACGATCGAATGGTGTCTTTCAGCCCAGTGCTTCGGCGCCTACGCAACACACTATGCCCGATAACCGAAATTCACAATCATGGCAGAGAAATTCAGCTTCAAATTACCCGGCTGATAGATTCACTTCATGGTCGGCTGCGCCCCCACCACCACAAAATTCATCTTCGCGGATTTGGGGACCTCCCACAAATGAAAAAACAATTGGAAACGGTACTTTTAATCCAGAATTGAATAGGCTTCCTGAGATGTCTCGCCAATCACTCTCAGATATGCCTCATTCATCTGCTCATCCAGGACCAATTGGACCACCTGGCGCAAACCGTGGTAATGGTTCTTATCAGGCAAATCGTGGTCAAAACCAATACAACTCCCGACCACCTCCAATCGGACCTCCATCGGCGAACAGAGTACCTCAGCCACCAAGATCATACGAGGATGAGCAGCGAAAAGCTATGGCTAGACAAGTTTGGGGTGGTGTACCTGATAGAATATCACAAGAGGATGCAATTCTTCATCAACAACATCAGGAGGAAATGGAGCGCAAACGCGAATTAGAAGCAGCTGGTATTGTAGAGGAGCTTCCTCAGCCTGTCTACGAAGACACCTGGAAGCAAGTTACATTAAATGAAGATGGCACAAGAAGTAAGACGAAGAAGGTTTCGACTGCTTTAGTTGATGGAAGATCGTCGACTCCTTCAGTTTTGACCGAAAATACTTCTCGTGGTAATGCTCGACCCGATTTGTCTCGAACACAGTACAATAACAATTCATGGCCGGGTCAAGAGACTAACGCATCAAGTGCACATCGAGAGTCAAAGTTTTTCCCGAGCCACAATCGCGACGTTCGCCTTGAAGAGATGAATGGCCATGGTTTTGAACGATCATCATCACCATCTCCACCCCCACCTACCATGGATGGTCACCCGGCTTATGATAGCGACTTTGCACAACCACATGTTGCTCTACCACCTCCATTACCTGTGGTTAGATTGCCACCTCCGACCATCGTTGCACCAATTGCTCCTCCACGTCCAACATCTTTTGCAGCCGCAGCCGCAGCCCCCGCAGTCCCTGCCATCAGTCAAATTCCTGGTATGGTAGCCCGTCAAGGACTCGTACGGGCTGGGTCAACTTCTTACGACATTCGCAGAGGTGTACCTTCATCCACCCAAACAGGAGAATGGAAGGAAAAAATTGATCAACTGTTCGGCAAGAAGTCACCACCAAGAATTCATGCTCTTGCTGTCGATTCTTCTAGCAGACGTGCATTTGATCATTCATCAGAGTCGCACGCTTCTACTGCCACTGTGGTTTCCCTCCCTGGCTCCGTCAACGATAATTTGTTTGGCGAACAAGAATCACTCGACACGAAGCCGGCTGCGGAGGAATGCTTTGAGGAACAAGAGATGGGCTCGTTACCTGTCATCAAAATGCCACAAACCACTCCATCAAATGCCTTTCAACTGGCTCCCCCTCCAAGAAATATTCCTCGAAAGTTCCTCATGTCTGATACAACATCCGCAGAATCAATGCAATTTCCAATGGAAATCAGCAACAATTTCGGTTCTCTAACAATTTTGCTACCCGGTCAGGAAAAGTCTAAAGTGGTTCAACTTCTAATATCTCGGACTAGAAGCAACCCGCGACGTGGACGCGGCGGATCAAGACAAACTTCGTCAACACATCCAAGAGGTAGCCGTGGTGGAAGAGATAGTAACAATGGCTCTTCATCCACCCCTCGTGAAACTCCACCTTCAAATACAAACAATACTTCTGGGCGTGGCCGTGGTGGAAGAGGATTTGGGAATAATACTAGCTGGAACCGCCATGCTGCCACACCAGTTCACACTTAAATGTCAGAATAGTTCAAGGAGACACGATAATGGTCATCATATTCTTTCATGGATATTGAACCTTTAACGTGTATTTATAGGAGCAACCTTTTTCTTTCTACACAACATCACTTTTTTTCTTCAAAATATCTACACTTGTAACTTCAAAATCCTCATGAGTGGGTTTTTGTCTCGTCAGCGATCATTAAGCAATTTGGGTTGCATTATGGATCGCAATGTACATTTGCACGCAGTCATGACTTGCTTCTTACTGTTTTTCGAGAGGCATAGGCATAGGTTTGGATGACATGAAGGTCATTATTTACGAAGATATGAGGGGTAACAAAAAGGGATCATCTGGACATTGAAATATTCATGAGGATTCCTGAGAAACTCTCAATCATAACAAGTACTTCATCGCAATATGTTTTGCTCTATGGCTGTACATTCGGGATGACAGCAATGCCAAATGGAAATGGCTTCTTAACACAATTTTCAGATGAATAAAATATTTTAAAATCATGAAAACATACACAAAAGTCTGATGAGAAATCATGAATATGATGTGATTTCTATGTGAATGATGAAAGCAACACATTCAATCACCCTCCCTTACATCCATCATCAACCCCCACTTCTGCTCGATAAAGGGCGTACTATTTATGTCGATCTCAACGAAAATGATTGAACTTGGTAGTCATACAACCCCTTCAATACCCTTTTGATTATCTCGAAATCTAGATTGATGGTTTATTATAAGTCAAATAAAAATGAGCTCCATTTTAAAAAAGATTAAATGAATCCTGAGATGATTATGATTTATTAAATTGATTTGTAAAGTTGATAGGATAGGCGCTCTATGAGTCCGTGCGCACATTATTATCTCATACCATCAGATATCAAACATCTAACCTTACCTCAACGACCAACTACATTATACATTGTCCATCATGACCAAAAATTATCCCTCAAAGTCTAAATCAATGATCAATCCACCAAAGAAACAGATTAATCTACTGAGAGGCTGGCCTCATACTTCTCTTCTTCCAACTTCGCATATTCACAATGCAGCAAATAAAGTCCTTACAAACCCAGATCTAGCTAATCCGGGATTATTGTATGGACCGGATCCAGGATCACCAAGTTTGAGGGAAAGTGTTGCGATATGGCTTCGAGAATTTTACTCTGAGTATTATCCAACTTCTGGCTCCAACTCAGGCGAAGAAAAGAATCATCGGAAACCATTAAATAAAGATAATCAAGGTACACAGATGAGTCCAGAAGCAGACAGGATATGTATCACAGGAGGAGCATCGCAAAATCTAGCATGTATTTTACAGACATATACAGATCCTCTAGTTACGAGAGTTTGGATGGTTACGCCAGGGTATTTTTTGGCCGGGAGAATCTTTGATGATAGTGGATTGAGAGTTAGAGCTGTTGGGGAGGGTAATGAAGGGGTGGATTTGGAGGGATTGGAAAGAATGATGAAGGAGACAGGCAAGGAGGATAGTAGTGTCGAGGTATGTTAGGTGTTTGACGTGATTTGAAAGATTTCAATATCTGTTCTGGAGTTGTAAAATCTGGTACATGACAGGATAGTAATGAATGACGCTAATCAACGTGGATAGCCTATCAAAGACTCAAAATCGAGATCATGGGGTAAGATCTACAAAAACGTTATCTACTGCGTCCCAACCTTTTCAAATCCGTCTGGAAAAATAATGACATTATCATGTCGCACTTCTCTGGTTAAACTGGCTCGCAAATACGATGCATTAATCGTCACAGATGATGTCTATGATTTTCTTCAATGGCCTACTTCATCATCTTCCTCTGATGCTCCTCTCAAAAAGGCTTTACTTCCTCGTCTCGTCGACATTGACCGTACACTCGAACCTACGCCTGATGCAGCCAGTTTCGGAAATGCAGTCAGTAACGGCTCATTCAGTAAAATAGCAGGACCAGGTGTTCGTACCGGATGGACTGAAGCAACTCCTAAATTCGCGTTAGGATTGAGTTTAGTGGGTAGTTCAAGGAGTGGTGGATGCGCAAGTCAATTGACTGCTACTATTGTTGATCAGGTTTTAAGATCTGGAGATTTGATGAGACACATTGAGGGGGTACTTCAACCTGCTTATAAGGAGAGATGCGAGAGGATGATGGGTGCAATTAAGAGGGAATTGGGTCCATTAGGTGTGACGGTTGAAAATACGGGCATGGAATCGGGTGAAATAAAAGTCTTTGGAGGCTATTTCATTTGGTTGAGTTTGCCAGGTAGAATTGATGGTGATTTGGTAGCGCAGATGGCAGTGGAAGATGAAAATCTTGTGGTAGCTAAAGGAAGTATTTTCGAGGTGCAAGGGGATGAGAGTGTGAAGTTGCCTAGCGGATTGAGACTTTGTTTTTCGTGGGAGGAGCCGGATTATTTAGAAGAGGGTATTGTGAGATTAGGGAGAGTTGTTAAGAAAGTTTTGGAAGGAGGTGGCCTAAGAAGTGGGAATGGAAGGGAAAATGGAAAGAGTCTTGCGGAATTCAAGTGATTATGATAAGATTAGAAGCAGGCGGTTTTGAATAGCATCCACTTTACAAGAAACTTGGCTAGAATCAATCTTTGGCGAATAATTGGACATTCAAATCCAAGTCCTACGGATTCTCAAGATTTGGCGGTGTATGATGACTCCCAATTGGGCCCATCTATCTAGCAAGCGATAACTCAGAGTCCCGAGGTCTATCGATATCACTATCGATCGAATACTTTTCCCTTGTTCCAGCAAGACAAAATGACAACAAAGATGGAGAGGAAGGGCTTTTGTTTAGGTCTGTTAGAAAGAAATATCACTTATTTCGAACCAGAATAACAACAAATAAAAGCAACACCTTTTCCCTAACCATAAACATCTTTTCATTCCAACGAGGAGGTGATAGCTCAGAAATTTATTCCCATTCGAACGGGGGCAGGAAGAAGCGCATAGATCATAACAGTATTGAGTCTTCGCAAACAGGCTTCATCGATGTGATAACTTTCACGTATTGAAATAAATTAGAAACGAATCTAATACCCTATTATATACACAGAAATCAAACTCTATATACTGTAAGCATAAATCTTCAAATGCGCCAGCAACTATGGTAGCGACCGCACCTCCAATCCTATCTTTGTCTTCTTCCTATATAAAAGTCTAGTAGACAGCCACAAACGAGCGCACTAGCCGTCCTATTTAACCTCATCACGTCATAACAATCGACATGAATCATCGGTCAAAGAAACACACACACTGACTATACCCCATAGCCTTTAACTCCACATCCCCAACTCAACTTTAACTCTTCTAATCACCCCACACAGCCCCCTATTGTTGATAAACCTTAACCGAATTAATCAACCAATAAGCTGGCGCAAACGCAGCCGGATTCGCTCCTACATAGGCGTTACATGTACTCGCAACAGTAGCGCAATTCCCACTAGACCAAACAGATCCCGCCCAGTCACCACAAAATGTCGTATCGAAAACAATTTGCTGATTCGCAAAAAAACTATCGATATTACACCCACTTCCTCCATTAAATGCCACGAGGGGTAATCCCCAATTACCCGTTACAGGTTTTCCAGCAGTGACATCAGCGGGTACACTACCTCGAGGCCAGAACCAGACATAAATACCGGAGGATTCCCATTGCATGGCATAGACACCGCCACCGACAGAGTTGAAACCATTTCCGTAGGAATTGGCTTTGTTGGTAAGCACGCCGCAACCGTTGTAGCCGCTGTTAGAATTACAATTCGGATCGCTTAAGGTAATACCGGGTTGAGAACCAGCCGTATTGATTACGCAGCCGGGTCCGGTGTGTAAGGTCATGCTGTTTGTGCCGGCGAGATTAACACCTTCGATGACGTCGATTTCTCTAGGATATAGTCAGAATTGGGTGTGCGGTGGAGAAGTCCGGTGATAAGCGAGAGAAAACAAATGTGAAGAACTGACCCTCCATATGGCCAATTAGGACCAACAAGCCAAACTAAAAGAAGTATTAGTCAACCATTTGACCTAGACTTTTCGAAAAAATTACTCACAAGCGGGCCATACTCCGCAGATTGATCCAGGCATATGAGCAATATCAGCAATGAATAGACCATGATTATATGCCTTATTACTCGTAAGTCTGACTGATGCACGACCAGCTGGAGGGTTAACCGTTTTATGATCAACACCTAAATAGACCTGGCCATAGTTGGTGTTGATGAGACCTTGTGCTGAGGCAGCTGATTGAGATTGATATGATACATATCCATGAGTAGGATCTTCACCCGTGAAGAAGCTAAAGGAAGAGAAGAAGTTGGCAGAGTTGTACGTATCCTTGAGGTTATAGGTAGCAGTTGCATACTGCTGATAGGTTCCTTGAATATATGGAGCAAGAGCGGTAATCGTGAGAGGTAAGGATAGTAAGATATTTGTATAAAGGAAGGTAGATTTAGGAGACATCTTGATTGATGAAGGATAGATGTGTGGAATGAAGATGATTACACAAGCATTTGCAAAGGCTGTAAAAGCCAGTGAATGTTAACGCTTTAAGGAAGGAAGGGAAATTCAAGAATTCAAATCAGAAGGAGTGTAAGATCTGCCATTAGAAGATCTAAAGTGGAAAAAGATGAGCACTTATATGCTCACTATAAAAAAACTATCACTTTCCCAAGACGAGAATGAGTGTTTAATTAGATCACTTGCCATGAACCACACCACCGAGTTTAAAAATCATTTCCGTCTTGTGAGTGTAACATGCTTCCTTGCTCATCAGAGTTACAAGAGAAACACAGCGAAGGATTGCAACGTAATCAAAGTAGGTATCTTCTGATATCAAAACCATGTGCGAAAATCCGGGGTAGTGTCCCAATAGTCCGGATTTGAGTCTGACAATTGAGAAACTTCCAATTTCTCATTTCAGTGAAACGATTTAGATAGTTCGGGGTATTAGATTCTACCTCGACTGAGATGTTACTTTCTTTTTGCACAAATAGTTCTGAGTCACAAATAGTTCTGAGTTGATGGAAAAATACTGAACATTGTAAACATTTTATTTCTTTTTGAATATCAAGAACTTGCGTTCAATCTACCTTCCGGACTATTAGATGCTCTAATCCGGAGTATTTGATCATCTCAATTCTTGGCACGCCTCGACCTGAATAATTCAATATTCATTCGCTGAATTCTACTTTCCAATTTGACTTGCAATATCCGAATCCATGAAACTTGTGCTGGAGGAGAGACGGAAGGCAGAAGGCAGGCAGTAATACATATGAGTGACCAGAACATGAGAACACTATCCCCACGAATGAAAGTTATGAGAAGACTTATTATATCTTATCATTTACGCCAACATCAAAAGCCACAATGTTTGTAGTTCAATGTTGATCGTTTCAAGGTTCCCGTGTATACTCTTTTTAATTAAGGGGTATTGCTACGGAAAATTTATGACCACTTGGGACACAAAGATCTGAGCCTCAGCCACTCGACAATCTGACAGAAGTAACTTGAACACTAAGTGAGATCTGCAGAAATTACAGATTACCTATTGAATTGTCAAATGAGTGTTGAAGATTTCGTTTCAAAGAGTGTCAGCAGCGTAGTATCGATCTTTGAATTATGCGTTGTTTACCCTCGTGAACCAAATTACCGGACCCTTTTTTATATCGGCTGATATCTTCATCTAGTAGTTCACAATCATTTGATCGTGTATTACCACCGAGTATAAGTCCGAATGATTTTATTTACACTTGTCTTGTTCTTTCTTGGTATTTTTTGACCATGGGGAAAGATCCTAGAAAACGCGGGGATGTAAGACCTCGGTAGTGGTTGTGTGTGGTGTTGTGGCGTTGTGGCGTTCACAGCATGAAAGGTAGACTTTGCTAATTATAATTTAATAAGCATGTTTTTAACCGTACAAGTAGTTCCATATTGACCTAGTTTATTGATCCTTCCGAAGTATGAGATTCAGTCTAGTTTACAGCCCCGTCAACATCTAGTGATATACGATAGATTGTATTGATTGTTTAAGCGGAACTGAGTCTTAACCCTATAAGATCCCAGTAGTGATTTTCCTGCCCGGCGAAGTAAATAGATCAATTGTATTCTAAGAATTGATCATGAAGATCTGATCAGATTAATTTTGTATATCCGAAAACGGTTAGTTGCAGTTCCAAGAAGTTTCAAATTTGGATCTTATTTGGATGGTGGGACTTATTTGGATATACTAGATACTTATTTGAATAACGTTACATATTTGAATACATATTTGGATACATATTTGAATACTTCTCTTGAACTGTCAAAAATGTGTCAGAAATTCTTAAACTTGCTATAATTCTTGTCTGAATTAATAATATTAGACGCTAGTTTGTAAACTACTTTTCATCGCTATTGATCATTACAATACCTCCACCTCATAACCAATTCATCATCAGGGCCAATAATCAGTTCCATACCAAGCTGGATCCCAAAAGGTACGTGGTTGTACACCTTCGCCTCTTTCATTCATCAAATGACCTCGACTAAGAGAATTCAAAGGCAAAGTTACAGCCTCAGTTGGATCTTTAGCAAGAGCAATGCAACTACACATAGTATCCTCATCACTATCAGTATCAACAAATCCTCCCATACAAAATCTCAATATATCATCAGTCAAAAGATCTTCATGCTCTTTCAATCTTGGTTCCCTACGAATAGGACCCCCTCTACTTCCATCCATTTCCCATAATGACCCATCTTCCCCCCTTACAAAAGCCACAAAATGACGTTTCGACTTCTCAACTTTCTCTGTTGATGATGCTTTATCGGCTAAAATAGCAATGGCCTGGTGAGCATCTTCGTAATTTTGGTCGTTATATAACATCGTTGCTCGGTCATCAGGTCCTAAGGGAATAGATCGTTCATAGAGTCTTGATAATATGGTATCAGGAAGAATATATCTATGAGCCTGTCCATTTAAAAGGCAATGTAAGAGACCCATAGAGCCACAAGCATCAGCAATTACTTGTTTGAACCAAATCACAGGCTGATCAGGTCCACTCCCTTTATAAGGTGGTTTTGCCAATTCCTTTGCACGTGTAATTAATTCCCAGGTAGACGTGAATGGTATGGAAAATAGGAGAGCATAGACTGGACGAGGTATGTTCTTCATTGAATCCGTTCCAGTAAATGAACAGACATCATAAAACTTGAGAGCGGGAGAAAGGCCAAGTTTAATGGCAAGTGCATTCATCACTTCTGATTTGTTCTCTGATTTGTTGTCAGCTTTTTCTTTCTTTATTTTTTTTCTTGCAAAAATGAACGAGAATGCAAGTTTCCATACCTAGTTTCGTAAAGGTCAATCTGTTGTTAATCATTCTTGCACCTGATGGTCTTGAGATTATTTGGGAAGTCAGATTCAGAGAAACCCCAGTATTGATATCCCTCGTGTCTGGCAATATCAGTACTGCTTTTACTGCTTTCGAAGAACACTCAGGATCCGTATTCTGGGATACCATTGTTCTTATCGGGAATTCCTCAAGTTCTGAATCTGAAGATACTGATGATCCTGTTGTTGAATCTTCAAATTCCAGTTGCATTTCAAAGACCTTTTCTTTTGGATCATCAAGATCCACCTTTTCAATTGATTGAAACAAGATATCCGAGGTATCATAAATATCAAGGTCGTCTGAGTTCGGATTGAAAGTCATGATGAAAGGATGTATAATGTGGTAATATGTAAAACTACTTGATGATATTGAGTTGTCCAAATTACTTGATTGATGATGTTGATTTGAGGTATCGTGAGTGTAATGAGTGTAATTTTAGTGGTCATGAAGTTGAGCTATAAGTAATATGTAAAAAGTTGATAATAACAAGTCATGTCACTTCCTTCCTCTTTGATAGACTGTCACAAGGGTTTAAGTTCGTCAACGTATTTTCCAGAAAGCAGGATTCGAACAACATACCAAGGTACTTTTTGTGTTATGCCACATTGAATCAATTCAATAGTCATCCATAATGCACTCCGATGATCTTTTAAACCGGAACCACATCCATTAAATCATCGCATATATCATTCAATCGTAATCATAAGAATCATCTCTCGTATGACACAAAACTACTACCGATCCATGGTCATCAAACTTCGTTACACATAAGTCACTGCCTTGCACCTTCCACTTTTACCAAAGTGCAATACTTCCATCTCGACTCTCACCCCCAATTCTCCTTTCCAATCTCACAGCGACCAGCAATCCCAATCTCAACAATCCTGCTGCCAAAACAAATCCACCTTTCTCATCCATCCATCCCTTTAAATCCCACCGTGAGAAATCCACCTTTCTCATCCATCCATCCCTTTAAATCCCACCGTGAGAAATCCACAAATCCATCATTTCCACCCATCCCCTTCGCAAATCCTAAACTCCATACCCCTGTCCCCAAACAAGCGCCTACTTGTTCCAATATTCCCATTCTCACATAGAATTTTTCTATCTCTGATCTTCCACTTCCTTTTTCTTTGTAATTGATTCCACCCACTTCCAATTCCAAATCTTGCAAGACATTCTGAGCTGTAGTTATATATCTCCCTTCTCTCACATTATTCTCTTCCTCAAAATTATCAGAATCTCCTGAGCTCGAATCAGAAACTAATCCACTCCCCCAAGCAAGCAAAGCAACTTGTACCGGACTCCCCGCTACACTTCCCCCCATAGCCAACCATAATGCTGTGCCTCTTGTTGTCGGAAGTGCCAAGAGTATTAAACTCATAATATTAGCCAGCAAACTCCATTTTAGAACCAGGAAATCATTTTCCTCATTACATTCGATTCCTTCTCTTTCTTCTTCGCTGCGAATAAACAAGACTCGTAATTTTCTCCTCCGATTCATGAATTTTACGATTTGTGGGAGAAAAATTAGTAGGATACTAGAACCCAATAAACAAAAACTGTAAATGGTTGTAGTAACATTGTATGGAAGATTTTGAGAAAGACTAGTGAATTGAGGGTAAAGAATATGAATCTTTAGCGAGAAAGTAATGAGGAAAACAAGAGATAAGAATGAAGTTTGTGGATTAATGCGAAATTTTGGTATCGGATGCGATGGAAAAGTATTTATATACATAGTTGATGATACGGATGAGGTGTTGTGATTTGTTGAAGTTGGTATGGTTTCTGAATCGTTGTCTTGCTCGTTTTCTTCATCGATGGAATCTCTATAACTTCCCCATTCCATACCTGTATCCCTTTCTAAATTTGGTATGTTGGTATTTGACTCAACGAATTTACCTGAAGGTAAAAGCATCGCAATTCCAATGGAAAGAACTCGGAATCCAACCGCAAACGCACAGATAATCCAAACACCATATTCATACTTCAAGAGAAAGCCTGCGAACGAAAGAGCTTTGAAACTACTGAAAAGTTGTAGAGCCACGAGACGATACAAGGTAGAGGATCTAGATTATTCATGATCAGCATTTTGATATAAGAAAATGTTCCAATGTAAAGAGACACATGGGAAATGCAAGGAAAAATATAATGTGGTAAATCCAGGTACAAAGTCACTAGAGATAAAAAGAGAAACATACAAACCCTCATTTCCACCCTCAGCATCTGCTTCCTCACCAATATAAGCATACAATAAACTAACCATAACCACTTTTCCACCACCTATCAAATCAAAAATTGGTATGAGATAAATCCATCTAAGATCCCACGTATCAGAATTCCAACCTATTCCCTCATCAAATATTAGCATCTTCACAAATTCCAAACTCTAAAGACACAGCTTATAATTCTCCTCAAATTTAATTCTCCTCAAATTTAATTCTCCTCAAATTTAATTCTCCTCAAATTTAATTCTCCCAAATTTGATTCTCCCAAATCAAATTCTCCCAAATTTAATTCTCCCAAATCCAAGTACTTAGCAATAGACGAAAAGAAAACTCACAAACAACACCCCACCACACTCCCCCCAACACCCCACTCCCAGCAACCAACCCTACAACCCCCCTCCTCATCCCCCATCTCCTTGCAATCCAACCCCAAGATCCCGTTAAAAAAATCCCCGGAACATAGCTCAAAAATTGAAATATCCCATTTATCTCCGCTATCCGTGATTGTACTGGTGAGGATTTACACAGTTCATCTGACAATAAAAATACATCCGAGGAAGACAAAGGAAGAGGAGAAGAAGAAGGTGTATAAGTGCTACAAATGTATCGTCCGATGAGAGGGAGAAATGTAGAGTTGAGTAAGAGAGAAGAGATAGTTGAGAGGAGAAGGAGAAGTGTTGCTATTTGACTTGGAGTTAAAATTTTCATTTTTGATGGGAGTGAAAGGGGTGAGTGAGTGAGATTGGGAGGAGGAGCGGGAAGAGCAGGATAGAAGATTCGGCCGAGCATTTGTCTTGGCTGGTTGTGGTTCGTTTGGAATGAAAGGTCTATAGGGTAGAATAATTGATTTGTTAAAACTCAATGAATTATATCAAATCCTACCTCTCGCTTAGGTGACTTGAAAAGGATGAGGACCTCGAGATAAAATTGGATTTGATGAGAGAAAATGCTAAATGGAAGCATTTGTTATAAGATAGAATATGACAAGAATGTAGCGCATCTGAATAGATAAGATGAGACGAGAGCAATGTAGTTACACAAACACGAGTACAAGCAGATACAAGCAGGTACAAAATACAAGTACAACAGATTTTAAAAGGTATGTTCCCATGCATAAAATAAAGTCTTGAGATTGAGAGTACAATCGATAAAATAAATACCGACTCGCCGATACCAAACCGTTTACTCTACAGAAAAGGACATTTGTTTGTAGAAAAATCGATGCTGTACGGTCCCAAGTCCCACTTCATATCCATCTTTCCCCTTCCGTACCCACCAACCCCTCTCTTCCTTCCAACCTCAACCTCAATCTCTCCAAATCCCGATCTCCAGCCTCCACCGACATTGAGGTTTCCTCGTCTCTTTACGCTTGTCAAAAAGCGACGATTAGACTAACAATGGCCTCCACCCTCAAATTCCAACTCCCTATCTCTCTATCTCACAAATCCACAAACCCCATGCATCCACCCGCTCCCTTCAAATCAAGAAAAAAAAACACCACACTTCTACATATCCATGCACAAACTATACACACAAAATATACAAGTAATCCCTCAGCTGAAAAAATCAAGACGATGCACGACTTCGCCTTTGTACTATATCATCGTCGTACTAGCATCAAGATTCTCAATCCGATTCTTCATTGTGAGATGAGATAAGATGGAAAGATATGATGAGGATGAAGAATGAAAAAAGAAGATCCGCTTGGTCTACTGTAACCGTATTAGAAATTTCTTAGAAATTTCACATCTCTATCCATGAATGCTTAAATGAAAAACGATAACAGCTGATATCAGAATCAACCTAGATGATACATAACTCCCATTTCTAATTCTAAAGCTTCGAATTTTAATATCAATATGTCCTTCCCACCGGATCAATATCCCAATAATGTCCATCTTACCGACTTCCCAATGAAAATCCATCCATACAAACATACATACAATATCAATATCAATGTCACGAAACACAACACCACACCACACCAAAATCTATCAAGCGCTCTTCCCTTCTCTTCCCGTCTCTTCCCTTCTCTTCCCGTCTCTTCCCATCTCTTCCTTTCTCTTCCCTTCTCTTCCCATCTCTAACCATCATCTCTAACCATCTCTTCCAATCTAAACTCCTCACTCTAAATACCCAACCATCCCTTCCCCCTCTCATAAACATAAAAGCTCACCGCAACCATCGGCACAACCTTAACATAGCCAATCGTCAACCCCACAAAGAAACCTCTCCATCCCCTCTCCCTAACAATCATCCTCGCCGTCTCCCCAATATGTAGCCTTCTCCCATCTCCTACAGTTCCTCCAACCTGCATTCTCCTCCTTATCACTTCCAAAGGATACGCGCTCGTTTGAGACACCAATCCCGCTACACCACCCGCAAATAATTCCGCCCACGATCTAAGCGGTGCTGGTTTATTCTCCGCATAATGTGCTGGTTTGGGAAGTGTCGTGTACTGTTTTATACTCTTGTGTCTTAATAAATCTCCCGCGGTATCATGCGTTAAAAATGACATTCCAGCATACGGCAACATTCCCAATATCGTCGCCGAAAATCCTCTATAAAAATTTGCCAATCCACTTTTAGGAACGATACTCTGCACCGCATTTTCTGCTCCGGCAACTAGACCTCCTACCCCAGTGGTTGTAGATAATTTAGGCTGTGGCGGAACTTCATGATATATTCTCCTACAAATTTCTCCCAACCCCGCGCTCCGTCCTTTGGTCTCGAACGCTAATCTAACCCTCATAACCTCCAAGGGATAAGTGAAAAATACACTTGTTACTCCCGCCAAACTACCGCTGATCAATCTTCTAAATGGGGTTTCGTACTCATGTCTCGGTATTATCGCTGCGCGGATTTGTTCATATGCTAGAAATTTAATCGCAGCGTATGGAAATATACGGAGAATAGTCGCAGAATGTCCGCGAAAGAGTCCACGCAGTCCCTCATCGCTGTGAATGTCTCGCATGGCTGTGATGTAACCAAACCAGGAGCCGGTGTATTTGGCGAATTGAGGATTGCTGGCTTGAAAGAGGATTTTTACTCGGTCGAGGGGGGCGACTACGGTTTTTGCCTGGGGTGAATATTGTTAGCTACATCGTTCTTGATGCTCTAGATATTTTTTCCAGTAGAATCCGCAGATAGAGTCCGCGAGAGATTGAAAAGAGAATACATACTGCACTACCAGCCAAGCCCCCCGCCAACCCCGTTCTCCAAATATAATCCCAACTTTGTTTATTTCTAATCTCCTTGCCCGCGGACTTTAACTTCCCCTCCTCTCCATGCCTCTCCTTCTGCCCCATCCTCGACTGCTTATTTCCCAATACTACCGTATCATCATCCGTGGGACAGATAGCTGGCGCGGATTTCCTCCTTTCATCAGCGACTGCGCTGGCCATTGTTTCGACTGTATTGTTGTCGTTTGTCTCTCGTGATCCGTTCTGTTCTGTAAATATATTTGTTGAGCTCGATGAGGCATCCTTGGTCATATCATTCCCATTTGTTTGATTCTTATTCCTCTCTTATCAATCAATGTACCGTGATAATTTCTCTCATTCCACGGAGCAAAGTTTCTTTCAAGATACCATTTGTAAATTTGCCAGTTATCCAGTTATCCAGTTATCCACAAGATCTTAAGAGATCGAATTATTCGTAATGTTTTGAAAAGATACCTTTAATCAAATCGCATGTGTGTATATGTATCGTCTCGGTTTTCTGTTTCTCTTCTAACTGCACCCTTCACCCGCAAACGTCATACTAGCGCCGTACAATCGGTCGGTACTCGGTAATCTTCCCCTCGCAGAAATGGATCACATATGGATGTTTATTTTGCCATTATCAAATACACCTGATCTTTAAAGGTTTGAAATATTGCTTCAAAATTCACAAAATTCAAACCAAACAGAAATCTTCAATTCATATGTATATGTACATATATATACATATATATTTTCTCTCTGGTAAACAACGGTTCTCATTTTTTAAAACCGAATTATTCCGTAAGTCTTTTTCCACCTACCTAACATAAAGACCAAAATCTCAATATCAAACCTCGGGTCTACGGTATTCATCGGCTTAACTTTGTCAGCGTGATCAGCTGAGAGTTGATTCGTTAATATTTCCCCAGATATCAGAAAAGAGCATGATATCTAAACGTCTAGCTAGAAGTCTCTATAAAATTCATAACGGTCAATCAATAATCAGTCAATTATCAATTAACAGCATTTTCATATGAAAATACATCAGGAGAACTAGTGAACGAACTCCAGAGATGAGTTAAAAATTCAGAAGAAGAGTGGTATTTGCAAATTCAAATATTCATATACACCCTCAAACTTTTTCATCAATGTAAACCACCCATCCCTTTTCCCATTCCCATACCATTTTCATACCGAACACCTCCAATGAAGATGATAGATGAAGCAAATAATCAATCATCATCGACCATCCCATAAAAAACAAAGTAGACCAGCAATCGCACAAATTATATACGTTTTTCCAACTCCCCATCCCCATTCCTATTTCCATCCCACCCAATCACCATTTTTTTAAGATTCGCTTCCTTTCCTTCCCATATGCACTTGATTCATCCATCAATCCAATCAACTCAATAACTTTTTACTTTATACAAATGCTCTCAACCCTCTCAATCCACTCCCTTTTTTCTTTTCCTTTGGACTACTCTTTGGACTCTCTTCCGCACCACTCCCACTTCCTTCCTTCCTCCCTTTATCTTTATCTTTACCATTATCCTTCTTCACCGCTCCGATATTTCCAACTCCTCCTATTTGAATGTTAGATAATAATTATAAAGAGTCAGAAAAACACAAGAGAGAAAGTATCATTTTTCTTCAACTTTGAATTTAATGTACGATTTACTAGACTGGAGATAAAAGTGTACTTACCACGACCATAACCCCTCATTTCACTTTGCGGCTTAACCTTTGGCTTGGCCTGAACTTCCAAAGAATCCCTATCACTATTGTTGCCATCTCGACTCATTGTCCCATCCGAATGCGACGAACTTGGCGCTGGGCCAAAGTTACTTGAATGAGAAAATCTACCTCCGTAAAAATCAGGACTTGTAGGTGTACTTGTTGGTGTTGACCTAAATGCGTGGCCTGATGTTGGACTGTGAGAATCTATCCTAGGCCGAGCAATAAAACTTGATGTGCCTGTGAGTGGAAAAGTTGCTTTAGGTACAAGACTTCCCGGTCTTGTCGAATCTGAATAGCTATGAGTTAATCGACGGTGATCTCTTGGAGGAATATGTGGCCCAGGGGATCCATCAATACTCATAGGTAAATCAGATACTCTATCTTGCGCTGTAAGTGCTTCCAGGTGATCTTGTTGTAACTTGGTATATCGTTTCAAAAGATTAGAATGAGCTTTCTTCATATCATCCATGCGTCTTCGCGACCCAGCCAATGCCTCATCAATGATCTTTTGTTTTGCAGGATCGAGTTGTTTAAAACCAATTTGATTGGCATTTTGTGCTTCTTGAACTTCCTTTTGACATTTGACAATCAATTGTTGGATTTCCGCATCCTTGGCCTTTAACTTCATATTGAGGATTTCGATTGTATTGTAAGCTTGTTCTTCATCCTGTTTCGCTTGATCCATTTCAACTTCTAGAGCTTCATATCTTCGTAATTTCGTAGTGAGCTTTTCGGCCTCGATGCGTAATCGCTCCAATTCTTCCTTATTTGATTTCACCACTTGAATTTCTTGCGTAGCATGAGAAACCTTATACTCAGCTTGAACGACCAATTGCCTTAGATTGTGTATATCAATCTTTGATGCAGATAATTCACGTTTTAATTGATCACCCTCCACGATCCACTTCTTTTGTTCCTCCTTCAATAATCTCAGTTTAGCCGTCAAATCAGATTCCCATTTCCTAGAATGATTTCGACTCTTGTCAAATTCTTTCTTCATTTGTACCATGGCTTTCTTGGCATCTTCCAATTTGGCTCTCAGAATTTTGTTGGAATTGATCAAGTTCTGAGTTTCGGCTTCGACTCTTGCTTCACGAATAGCCTTTCGACGAAGTTGTCCAATGTGAGTAAGATGTTGCTGTTTGAGATAGCGTTCAAAATTCAAGTCATTCTTCAATAACATAATATCTCTCTGTAAGTATGCAACTTTCGTAGAATCATTTGTCCCAGGTCTCAAAGATGGTGAACGCGGTCTCAAAGATGGTGAACGAAGGGCGTGTGCACGGGTGAGTGATTGTAAGTATGAATCAACGTGAGAAGTATTATCTTGAGCATGATGACTCAACGCAAGTGATTGTACGCTATCGTTCGTCAGAGTTTGATAGATACCACCTCTGATTGAACCAGCTCGTTGTGAATCCAACATATCTTGTAAGTGAGTATGTGAAGGTGATGTAGCCATGACTGGAGGTAATGTAGGACTATCTAATCGTCTTTCCGGTCTCAAAATAGGGGAGTCCGCAATTGAAGGCATTGATTGACTTGTGAATGATGCCCTTCTCAGTACAGAATTTCGTAGTCCTTCTGGTGACGCAATAGTAGGTGGTCCAGCATATCTCCAACTCGCATGTCGAGATTGAGCAGGTGTGAATGCATTATGTTCTGTCAATGGTTGATCTGGAATGTCGGCATTAGTATCAATGTGTAGATTTGGTAATTGTGATCTTGATAGTGGAGCTTGTTGAGCATATCCTGGTATGTATAATGCCATACATTCAGTCACCACATCCGATGCTTCACTCTTCATCCATCGATTAGTATCTGATAATTCCTGATCAATAGTCATTGTGAAGAAATTTGGATGTAAAAGATGGAGTCGTCTGAAAGGTTCCGATCGTTGTCTTATTTCCATAGGTTCAACTGCGAATTCATTGGCTCCTGGAAATCCTTGATGCCTTAGGAATTTTTGAGGTTTTCGAATGTAACTCATAAAATTCATCGGATAGAGGCCGTAAAGAAATGTGTAATAGTGTAACAATTCCGGAACTGATACATCTTCCGAATCCAGCAAGTAAGAGAGTTTAGTCCATGAGCTTGTACTGTGAGTACTTCTGTCATCTTGATCGTCAGATGCCGAATTATCCTCATACTTTCGTTCCCTATCCCAAAAAAGCATTCTACTGTAGATATTGAAAAGCGCAGGGAGATGCTTGGAGAGAGAGCTTGGAATATGAGGTAGGAACATAATCAAAGCTGTCATAGCCAACGATACCACTCGAGTCGAAGTATCTATTTGTAAACATCGTAGGAGATTCTCGAAGAGGGGAGTTTGAAGGAGTTGATGTAAATGAGGGGGTTGATGTCGAATGAATTCGCAAAGTAATGAGAGGGCAAGAATTCGACTGTCTTTCTTGACGAAGAATTGGTTGATGGCAGTCAAGAAGTTCTGTAAGTCGTTAGAATTCCACCCCCATTCCTGAATTATATAGTCTACATACCTTTGGTCTCTTCCTTCCAAATGATATGAGTATACTCCTTAATTGACTCTCAATGAACTTTGAATTCTCATCAAGGTTTGTAGCGACACTATTACACTTGGCCAACCAAATAGCAATTAAATTCTCTGCCACAGTATCCGAAGTAGTAATGGCATCCTCTACATGTTCATCATCTTCGTCGTAAATAAGGATGTCCAGTAAAGTATTCCTAGCTTCCAACGCCAATCCCTTCTCTTCTCCAAGATGACTCAATACTGGTATACATAATTTATCCCACCATTGTAGCATTCTACCACCACCCTTTATCGAGGTTCGCAGTTTTCGCAAGATGGATAGAAAGGGGGCATAGCGGGTAGGATGGTCGCAGATATCCTTTTCATAAATGGAGAGTAATTCCTCCTGAATTTTGGTGGCATCAGATTCATCGTGGGTAGGATTTTTCTCTAGGTAGGTATGGATAATTCGCACAAGGTCGTCTGGAAGTGGTAATCGGGTAGAAGTTGTTACTGATGTTTTGATCGCTTTCGTCAGGTCCTTGAGTGAACTGTATTAGATATTGTTAGTTGAAGACATATCACAACGAACATGGGAACACCATACCCGGAAGACATCTTGTCTTCTTCATTGATAGCTCTAGCAAATAATGCTCCTCTTGAATGCTTTACCAAGCTTTTGTGTCATGCCTCTAAGCTCTTCTAAGATGCGGGGTCTTGATCCTATATCTCTATTGTTTTTCGAATCCGTCCGATCAATCAATCAATCAATCAATCAATCAATCTGTGTGTTTCAATTCCTTATCATATCATATCATCGAAAAAAAGGCACCGTCTACCACTTCCTCGCTTGGCACATGGGGAATAATCTCATTGAAAGAAATCTAGAAATAAATTTCGGCATGCAACAAGGTATCGTAGATCATCTGCAAGTATTCATGTTGGGAAAAAGTGGTGCGGAATTTGGTCAATCTTTGTTGCTGACGTTGGAAAGAAAATGTCCCTCAAGTACATGATTCACAAGGGTTCACCTCCGCCTTGCAGGAGCTTTCATCCTTGTCCATTTATTTTCTTTTTTCTTGGAACTTTATATGGGGAAAATTGATTCATTTGTTCTGATAAGAAGGAGAAGCGAAAGACGGCAACATTATTCTTATCGCCGAATCAGCTGATGGGAAGTTTGTTAAACGTCATAGAAGGGAAGAGGGAAGGTTAGTAAGTGAACATCTGGAAATGTGATAGGTAGGAGGGGTGTATCGTAGGAGGGGTGTAGAAGGGTGTGAAAAAGTTAGATACGATATACATTTTCCACTACGAACTTAACCACTATTTTTTAACCTTTCGTTACATCATATAACACAAAATTTCCTCTAATTTCCAACTATCATGCCAACCTCAAAAAGACTGAAAACCATAGATACCACAATGTCAGACTGCCTTACCCCCTTCACTCTTTCTTCCCCTGAAAGGTTATTCGCCCTCATCCAAAGAATCTCGATCACCATGAGCATTTATACCTCCAGAATTAGTCTAATGAGGTGTCAATGCAAGTTTCATCCTCTATAAATCGATTGTCTCACCCCTACGACTAAATCCCCCACACACTACTCAACTCTCTTTGAGTATACTCGCCTCTTTACCCCTCAATTACCGAGCTTCATTGTTCCTTGCAACGACATAATACATGATTCACATCTACTAAACCTCTTCTGTTCTGAATCTGTATATCAAATCACTCATAAAACTATTCATGGATGATCTAACTATCCTCGCTCCATCCTATCCTGATGAACTAAGTCGTCCTCGATAATCGCAATTCATATATCACACGCTCTCAGTACTTTTCCAATTAACACCTTTCCAATCAACACCTACTCACCCCCTCCAAACAATTCCTACCTCACCCCATCCTCCCACACATAAACTTTTCCCATCTTTGCCCATCACAATCCACTCCACCCCTTACCTTTCCTCCAAACCCGCTCTCGAAGAGTTTACCCGCCCATAACCTCCAGGTCAATTCAAACAGTACCACCGTAAAGCATGATAATCCATCCATCCATCCATCCGTTCATAACCAATACAGTAAAATTCAAAACACATCATCAATCCCCCTCATATATCAAATTGCATAACGAGAAGCAAACCAGTCAAAGAATAGATGGGATAGTCGATGATATCGGTACTTAGCAGGTGTTATGGCTGGGAAAGAAGTAAAAGGTGTGGATAATGGGAAAGGGAATGGGATAGACTGTAGGTACCTAGTATGGGAATTCCCCGTCCCGTCTTGGCACAAACACTAGCTAATATCGATATTGGTGGTCTACTAGATATATATTGAACACCGTGAATGCGATAATTGGACATGATCTAGTGTATTCTCGACCTCTTTATTTGGGCTCTGTAAGAAGTACTTACAGATTACCATTTCCTCCCATGATTAACCTCGAATTGGATTTCGCTCAGTTCCTATTCTCATCCATCATTGCTGTTATATATAGTATCGATATTCAGGTTTACTCGCATATAAATAATTCACTTCCAGATTAATCTTTCGTACCATGGTTTAAAATTCATTAAAATTCATTTATTCGCGTTTTCATACGCCCTTCTTCTTCAGAAACTCGCGTACAACCTTCTCTGAAGATTTTCCCTCCCCGTTACTTCTTTCACTCTTGAACCCTCTTGTACCCTCTTCCTCTCACAACTTCATCCTCAATCTCATTCTTGCTTTCTTTAAATCAAATGCTCATCAAACCAAGTCACAGCCTGGATAAAAGCTTGTTCCTTGGCATATTTCTCCACCTTCTTACTCAAATCACATCTAACCGAGAAACCATGGACAGTTTGACTGTACAAATTGATTTGATAAGTAGCACCGATTTCCTTGAGGATCTCTTCTGATTTGTGACGTTTTTCGGATGGGAAAATTTCATCGGTTTCAGCGGCTGCGATGGAGAAGGGTCCCTTGATTGCGCGGAGTTCATCTTCATCGACGAAACTTGAGAGTTTGTTAGTTTGTTACTCAAGGGTTGGGGTTGTGTTGGGGTTGAAACTAGAGTATTTTCGGGGATTGGAAAAAGGGGAAAGAAGGAAATGAAATGAAAAACGTACGAAGGATGAGCAACATATCCCACATCAATACCCTTTCCTTCAGCCATAAATCGAGCGACATATTTAGCACCAAAACAGTATCCGACAGCTCCAATCTTGGTATATCCCTTAGACTTCAAGAAGTCAATGGACTTTTGAACAATAGGATCAACATGTGGGAATGTATGTGGGTTGTTTCCATCAGAACCTTTGGTTAACCATTGCATGAAGTCGAAACCTTCGGGACGATTAAGAGACATTGGGTCGCCATTAAAGAGATCGGGGATGATGGTGTAGTAACCGTTAGCGGCATATTGATCAGCCATCAATTGGGAGTTTTGCCCTGGTTGAAGGAATTCAGATTAGTTGCTTGAATCCTGAATCTTGTGAATATAATGAAGGAAATACATACAGATACCGATAACATCTGGAAGGTAAAGAATGGCAGTATCCTTGTGAACCTTTTCTTTAGGCTCAGCAATATAGGTCTCAATGGTATCAGCAATCTTGATAGTTGATCCAGTTGGTGTACCCCTAAGATAATATTTCCGTAAGCTTCACATTCACATTCACAGATCCGAACCCCATCAAGAGCTCATTGAGAGAATAAAACTTACTCGTGCTTAACACCTAGAGTACAACATCTTTGAGGTGGGTTTGAAGCCATTTTTATATGTATTGAGGTTTGGAAGGTAGATTGGTATTTAGGTTTGGATGTAAAAAGGTAGATTGGTATTCAGGTTTGAATGTAAAAGGGTAAAAGAAATCAACAAGATTATCGATCAAAAACACAACAGCAACAATCGATACTTATAAAAAATTACGCAGACACACATAGATCTGGAATGACCAAATCTACCCCTCCACTAGACTGTTTATTACTAGGTAGGTAGTGGAGCCGACGGGGCCATTGTTATAAATGCTTATCAAATTCACACTTCACGACTGGGAAGAAAGAGGTTCTCACTTATATCCGTGGTATTAACTCCATCGCAATGATATAATTCCGAAGAAACTCATCGGAGTAAAGGTTTGCGAAGCTCGCTTTTCGCGGTGGATGCTTTTATAGGAAAGTCATTGCGGAAAACTGTGGTTAATGCGGGAAGGAATTGTGAAAATCAATGAAAGTCATATGATTGGTGATTTGCCATGAGATACCTAGGGTAGATACTAGGTAGGTAATGATGGGATGGATGACGATGATGTATGAGAATAATCGTTCGGATGTTGGAAAATCTAGAAGCCGGGCAAGCTTTACTAAGGAAGTATGGATCCGTGATCCAAGTCGAGATATGAGTGGTGGGTGTGCACATCTTAACAAAATCATGACTAAGCTTCGCACTGGTAACCCCAAGAGAAAGATACTCGCGGGTAATTGTGCTTATCGCGTCAAATGAATCCCGATAATATTTCCCGCGCTTAATTTTATCTGATACTGGTGATTTCAATCAAATAGCTTCAAATCCCAATTCCATATCAACCATGGCAGCACCACTTGCAGCCGTCGCTCGAGCGCCCAAAATGGGTCGCAAAGAAGTATTTCTGTAAGATTTTCCCTCACCATCCCCTTCTTACCATCTGGAAACTAACTCTTCTTCTTACCACAGTCCCAATTTCACCATAACTCTTCTCCGCACACCAAATCTACCACCCTCATTCGCTTCTTTTATCGTACCCCTCAATTTGAACAAATTAGATTTAAGAGATTATTTATGGAATGCATATGGAATAGAGGTTCGAGGAGTACGAAGTTATATCCAAGCGCAAAAATTGAGGGAAGGAAAACCAGGAGCGAAAGTACCAACACCTAGGAAATGGTTTAGGCCGAGGAGTATCAAGAAGATGATGGTGGAGATGGATAGACCATTTGTATGGCCTGAAGAACCTAAGGACTTTTCCGAGTATGTTTTATTTTCGATTTCGAAGGATTTCTATATCTTTGGCGGGGAAGTGATTGGTGTAGTGGGGAAAGTCGAGGGAATGAATGTTGGGAAGATAATCTTATAATGGAAATTGGAATGCACAAGCACAAAGGCTAATCATACGGTACTTATAGTTGGGATCAAGAAGGAGTCAAGCAACGTCAAGAATACGAACAAGAACTACAAGCAGGCCAATATCCAGATGCCAAACAAAAGCCTAGCAAAGAACGTCTATCGATTGCGGATCAAGCAAGGAAGATTTTGCAAGGAAAAGAGAAATGGGCACCTACGAGAGATACTTGGATGAATGTAGGAGAGGAAGTTGAGGTTGAGACGGATGTGAAGGTTCCTCGTATTGGACGAAGGGAATAGATGATGATTTGAGGAAGTGTAACCATTAAACTTTGGAAGAGCATGTATATTGCGAGATACATTGTATGAATAATTCATTGAATGGGGTATATGAACATGAAGAATAAAAATCTATACACCAACCTAGTTTTGGCACTTTTCGTTCAGGGTTTTAACCACACAAATTTCCATGGTTTCCACTCGCAGCTATGTCAAGTCATTGGACTGATATACTATAAAAAAAATTGGAAGAACTACTAGGTAGTTGGTGGTGTTGTAGCTGATTATAACCTTCTCGGCTGCCCCTCAAATCATCCAATTGTACTTTGACAAATTAACATCATTCACATAGTTTCCCGCCAATATCAGCCCGAACGTATTTCCAAATTCTACAATTGATATCCTTCTCCCTTCACACCTCGTCACTCTTCTCATCCTCCTTATCCGGTCCATTCTTCACTTTCAATACCTCATCAACTACTTCATCAACAACATCATTACAGCCTTCCTCAACCCAAGCCCCATCATCTTGAAATTTCAAAACTTCATTTCCCCACCCCCACCACCCAGCCGTAAGATTCCTCGCGAAGATTTCCAACCCCCTATATTCTTGCAACCCTAGTAGTTGACCAAAAAGAAACCTCAGATTAGGTTTTCGTGAGTGTAAATCAGGAACTCCAATTATAATCCTTCGTTTTATGGAGAAGTTTGAGTTTTCAGATTGAGATGGAGTTGGAGTTGGTGAGGCTCGTGAGGGTGAAGATGAAGGTTGATATGATCCTTCGATTTCATATTCTTTCTTAATATTCAATTCCTCATTCCCAACAGACTTCTTGAATCCAGAGTCTCCTACATCAACACACACTCTCTCCTCCTTCTTCCGTCCCACAAGTAAAATCTCCCATGGTTTCCTCCAAGTTCCTGAAATCTCACACATCGGTTCACTATTTGATGTAACTTTAAGCCAAATCCATTCTTCAATTAATTCAAGACCCCAATGATCGAACAACCCTCCTTCGTCTAAGAGCATTGAGCGGAAAGCGGGTTTATTAGTTATCCATATTCCAACGTAGCCATTGTGTTCTACCTGATGACATGGTAGGCTGTATTTGGTGAGAAGAATTAGCTTGAGACTATAAAAGAGGTGTCATTTATAGATTCGGATATACATTGGAGCTAAATTGGAGCTACATTGGAGCTCTGATTTAAGATATAAATGCCCATCCAAAACGTAATCAAACAAGATAAAATAAAATCAGAGTAATGTCAAAGCCGAGGGAGAGCTTCGAGAGAAGAACAAGGAACCAGAAACTTACGATCTCAATAAACTCTCTATTCCTCCAAATCCCGAAGCAATATCATAAGAATCTTTTCGTAAAGCAGATCGATTAGGCCAAGGTGGATCGGCAATTATTACATGGAATTTTGGAAAATCTTCATGTATTTCTATATTGGAAGAAAGGTTCCTTTCAAGTATATTGCCATGTATCATTGTAGATTTAGGTGGCATTATCCCCGAAACCCCATCAATCTCAACGCGTTTTGGAAGCTTGTAGACATTTTCAACCTTGATGACGCTTTGCTGAGATTTCTCTGCTTCTTCTGGAGCTGATTTTCTTTTCCTTTTAGATTCCTCTAAATTTTGAGAATGTTAGTAAATTTCCAAACGAATCTAAAATTTATACAATTCTACAATCATCCTAAATTAAAATGAATAAATAGAGACAGAAGATTATAAAGACAAAATTCAATAAACACACCATTCTCTCCCCAAATCCTCTCTAAACAAACTTTCCCTTCCCATCTCTCATCCTCCATCATCTCATCAAGCGCAAGTTGAACATAACGCTCCAACATCAATTCTTCAATACTTTTTCCTGGAGCATTCCTAAGAGCTTTTGCAGATTTGGGTTCAAGTGATGGATAGGGCGTATCTATTGGTTTACAAGATATCAACCTCTTCGCAGTCTTCGGACTAGTAGTGTATTGTTCGGTGGATAGTAATTGAGCATCTTCGATTGATCGTGGGATATCAATTAAAGTGACAGTTTTGCTTGAATTTTGATAAAGAATATGTGAAGGGAGGTCGGATTTTTGATTACTTGGTACTGTCGACTTGGCCATAATCCTACATGGCTTTTCGCATGTGTGAAACTTCATACTCGAGATACTGTAGATGTGAAGATTGTATCACGTGATTAACCTTAGACATCAACGTTACCATTCGCGAAATTTGTATGTGGTTTTTGTATGTCATTTCATCAGTTACCACATCGTAATACCACCACGGCTCTAGATGACACGGCTCTAGATGACACGGATTTAGATGATATTTTGTACGGTCTCAAACTATTGACATTGATTTACTACTTTTTGAAGTTTGATTTGAGGGGTCAGTATTTTTTGACACATTTTCCACAATAGAGCTAGAGGCCTCCGCCGATCGCCCTCATTTTGAAGTAGTCTTGAACACTAACAGTGTGATCACTAGGTAGGCTCGAGGTAGGCTCGTGGTAGGTAATGCTAACAAGCTAAATCGATTGAGGCTGGTGAATTTCGAAGTTTTGATTCTATGATTAGAATGATGGTAGTTCCTGACACACTATGAATTCTTTCATTACGGTGTGACTTTGAACGCATTGAGGGTCTCCTGTCATGAATATACATAAGGCTGAGTGACCTCGTACAATGGGATACTTTATTAATATCATTGATGTTATATTTCTACCTTGAATCAATCATTTTCGAGGTATCTAAAGGGTCATTGTCTTTTTCTTTTAACTCACTGGATCAGTCCTCTAAATGTTGACTTTCAATTTCAACAATCAAGTTACATTTGTGTCATCAATCACATCCATACTCGACTCGACCACTTCAAAATGCAGGTTCATGGCTCCCTCTACACTCTAACGCTAGGTCACCAGGGTCTCTTTAGAATACCTTTGGAGCTTCGTACAAAGATCTTTAAATACTGTTTAGAAGGTCACATTGTGTATGTAGGATTTGATTCTTACAATAAAAATAACTCGCTTCTAAGAACTTGCCGTCAAATTTATGATGTCAAACCTTTTATGTTATCCAATTTTTTATTTCATTTCGTCAGTACGATACTTTCTTTGTGGTTGTTACACTTATTATTGGATTGCCAGTCCAGGAAGATCAAGGACCCAAAAGTCAGATCAACGTGGATAGGAATTCCAAAAGATTACCATCACTGCCTGAATTAGGCTTTCTATCGACAGGTACTCGTTGTCGTTAAAAGGGGAAAATGTGCTGATTATGTGAATGACGGGCGCCATGAGTGTGGAAAATTGGAGACATTATTTAACAATATGACTTGGGATGAGATCAAAGAGACCAATTACTCTCCACCTAAATGTAAAACTACTCATCTATCCCTGTGATTTAATATATTATATGAGGATTATTTGACTACAATTGCATCCAACTCTTCACTGAAGAAAGGCGGATGAGACGACTATTTATTTAGGATGGACATTATATTTTGAATAATCAAAATGATGTATTTTCATATTCATGCTTCAAAATTAAATTACTTTTGACAATCAAGTTGTACTTAGGTAACTTTAAGTATTCTAAGGTTTGCCAAGAGAAGTTTCATTAGGTACCTATGGATTTTCAAGGTGTTGACACTTCGGCCGAAATCTAATTCATGAGGAAAGTTGGCCTTCGACCTACTTCCAAACATTAGAGATCACTGACAATTCCTTCAACGCATATAAATTCATTTCTCATTCTCATTCCTTTTCAACCAACCACGTATTCTACTCGAGTAATTCTCACACATGTAACTCTATAACAAGACCCGGGAAAGTTCTCTACCGGGTACTATATGTACCCCGGGTCACCGACATTAAGACGTGTGCCCCGCATTGCGGGGATGCGGGGGAGTGACATTCTCGATGATCTTGTCAGAATATAATGACATTCTCGAGACATTATTCCCTGTATTTGCCAAAGCTTTTAAATGAAATGGAGATGTCCTTATCCGATACTAATACTATGTTTATACCGCCAGCATGGATGATCAATTAGAAAGAGTTTGTCTAGTATCGGTTTATTTACGGGCGACCCCCATTCATCTGAACTTTAATATCACTACGAATCACTACGAGTATAAATTGAAGAGATGTTCGAAGCTTTTACCTTTAACTACCTAGGTAGTCAGAAGAAGTTTCGTTTCATAAGTTTCGAGTCTTTTGACAATTCAATATGTTTTCACCATCACTTCTTCTCGCCTATTCCTCCTTAATTCTTCCCACTTTATGTTCTCCCACTCCCAATAAAAATGGCCTAATAGTCCAAACGACCAGCGGTGAACTTCACGGCTTCATAAACCAAACTACACCACAAGTTCGTCAATTTCTAGGAGTACCATATGCTGAACCCCCTATCGGAAACTTGCGATTTGCAGCACCACAAACGAAAAGTAAAGGATCCTCAATTAACGCTACAACACTCCCTCCTTCGTGCATGCAACTTTCCAGTAATAGTTCGACCATATATACAAATGCTGTACCTCAATTTTTAATAAATGGAGGACAAAGTGAGGATTGTTTATATTTAAGTATTTGGACTCCTGCTACCCCGACAAATCAGAGTCTTCCCGTGTTTGTTTATATACCCGGAGGTGGATTTACAAGTGGTGGACAAGATTCATTATACAAGATTCCAGATCAATGGGTTCAAAAAACTCAATCCCATATTGTGGTTGTGATGAAGTGAGATATTCACACTCCTCATTTCGCGATTTATATACTAACTGTAACCAAAAGTTACCGTGTAAATGTTTTCGGATTTCCAAATGCAAAGGCTATTACGGAGGATCGAAACCCTGGTTTACTTGATCAGAGGAAAGCGTATGTCATTTATCTCTCCTCGCATTATTCCACGTGCATTATTCAGTGACTAACAATTTTCAGTGTCGAATGGGTTCACGAAAATATTGCCTCATTCAATGGAGATCCTGATCGAATGACTCTCTGGGGTCAATCTGCTGGTGGTGCATCTGTAGATAGTTACGGTTATGCATACCCCAATGATCCTATAGTAAAAGGTCTTATCATCGATTCTGGCTCCGCATATCTTCTCGGTAGTACGGATGCTCCTCAAACAAATTTCACTTCTCTCGCTGGATTGGTCGGATGTAAAGATCTTGCACCAGAAGCAGAAATTGGATGTATGAGAAATGTTTCAGCTAATGCAATTGAAAATGCTTTGAGTGCGTATGTGAGCAGTGGCGCGACTCCCAAACTTGCATTTACACCTTTTCCGGATAATGTTACCGCATTCTCCAATCCTGCGGATAGAGCTGAGAGAGGACTTGTGGCCAAATTGGTAGGGTCTTCCCTTTTGTTATCTTTGTTATTGTCTAGTTGTGGAATTTGAGGAAATAAAGCTAATCAACATTTATTGTACAGCCAGTAATCATAGGATCCAATTCAAATGAAGGAGCCGGCTTTGTATCTTTCTCTGAAGATGGTCCTGGTGAGGCAGTATTGTATGCAACAACTCAAAGTATAATCGCTTGTCCTGTTGCACAAGAAGTTAGGTAAGTTACTACTGCTTTTGGTATTACCTACAAACAAAATTCTAACATATAATCGATATAAAGAGCTCGAGAAAATGTAGGCTTAACAACATACCGCTACCAATACACTGGTAACTTTACCAATATTTCCCCTCTACCTTGGATGGGTGCTTATCATAGCTGTATGTTATTTCTTCCCGTTTTATTTCATTTCATCATTTCTATTTCCTCACCCACTAACAAACTCAGCCGAACTCCCTCTCCTATTCGACACTCACTTTTTATACCGTGGTAATTCCACTCCGTATGAATATGAAGTTGCGAACACAATGCAAGCACTATGGCTTTCATTCGCAAATGATCCACAGAAAGCACCATCGACAAATGAGATAACTTGGCCTATTTATAATAGTGAGCAGGATAGTATGCTTTTATTTGCAGAGGGGGATGTAAAGACACAATTTGTAAGTGGGGAGAGGATTGATGGAAATTGTACTTTTTGAGAAAAGAAGATGAGGAAGAAGAAAATGAGGAAATGAGGTTTAATTGGATGGAATTGGATGGAATTGGATGAAATGAGGTTTAATTGGATGGAATTGGGTGGAATTGGATGAGATTGGATGAGATTGAATGAGATTGAATGAGATTGAATGAGATTGGATGTAATTGATGTAATTGAGTAGAATTATCTCATAAATCTGTACAATTATCATATAATTTGAGATGATGCTAATATGATTATGTGGATGTCTATTTTGGATACAAATTACATTCTCAAGATATAAAAGTAAATACAAGAATTGATTAAACTAACACAATACAAAGTAATAATATCAAATGAGGTTCATGAAAATTTATTTCCTTAATATGCTCATAAACATAATTTCCTCCAATGATTAACTATATACATCTCGCTCAACGACATTATCATATATAATACCCGTACAGACGATGCTGCTTCCCAAACGCCAATATATGCATGCATTACTTAAATCCACTCATTTATCATCCACTGCTCTTATCCCCTTTTATTCATATCATATTGACATATACTCATTCACCCTTCCCCTATTTAATCATTCCTAGTATGAAGCTAAGTAAATACTTAAGCATTCATAATCTCAGGTTTGTTTTCATGAGCAGCAGCTCCTCCAGGAGCAGTCTCTGGGAACATTCTCTCATCGTGTTCCAACATTGGTCGTCCAGCCATTTCACTCTTCTTAATATCCTTTCCACCCTTGGTCAAGAACATACGATCAGTATCAACACCATTGACACCTTCAGCACCAAGAGACTTGGGGTCCCAGCTAGCGGATGTCAATGGGTTAACGTGAAGAACGTACATGGTATCAATTTCCTCCAAAGAACGATCCTTGGTCTCAATGACAAAGAAGAATACAATCCAGAAGAGAGCAAAGAGAGAACCAGCGAAAACGAGACCATAGTAATAATCGATATCGTTGGTGATGAAAGTGGTGAAGAAAGAGATGAGGAAGTTGAAGAGCCAATTGGATGCGGTAGCGAGAGCCATACAGGAAGCTCTGTAACGGGCTGGGTATAATTCTCCGACAAT